GTGCCGGTCATACAAAATGTAAACGATTGCATAGTAAATGAAAAAATGTAAGGAAAGTATTTTACAAGGCGCTCTGTGGGTAACCTGAATTTCTTTTTAACAAAGGTTCGTCGAGTTTTTAAATACTGACCCTTCTTTGGAAATCAAAAATAAGCCGAAACAGATTCCAAAAAGGCTTGAAAAGTATTGGAGTAAAAACCACCAGCAATAAATATTACCAAGTTGCTCAACGTATTGTAGTAAAAAATCATGATGTTGCACAGCCTCCAGAAATTGCTTATTGTATAATTCAAACGTCTTGATTTTTTTTCTCCCAAAAGCAATTTTTAGCATTTTAAATTGCATGCAAATATATCCGGTGTAGTAAAGAAAAACCATGTCATACCCTGTGATTCCAAGAAAAATAATCGCTACTTCAAGAGTCTGCAAAACAACGTAAAATTCAACCCAAGGTGTTTCAAGTCCTTCTGACTCCCCGTAACACAGCGAAATTGGTTTTCCGGTCTTAAAAATAAACTTGACGAGAACAAACGTTGCACAAGTTAAAGCTAGGATCACCACGTAAACGTAGAAAAATATTTGAAAAATGAAATAGGTTGAGTGGAGATTTTTAGCATAAAAATGACCAAACCGGTCCAATTTCCAAAACTGTTCAAATTTCTTAATCAATTCGAGCATTTTATTTTTGTATAGTAGAAAAGAAGCCATCTTACACATTGTCTGATATTGGGGAATGATAGATTCTGCAGCACGCTCACACGTTTCTAGCCCTTTAAAATTAAAAAAAAACTCTAAATGACTGGAAAATGAAGCTAAAATTAGAATAGTGAAAACGAAAATTGAACGGAATTTTGAAAAACCGTCGTTTTTTCGAGGATCGAGTCCTAGAATGTTTACTAGCTTGAGCGCTTTCTCCATTTTCTTCGAAACTGAATCGAATATACCTTTCTCTTTGTAAAAGAAAGGTAATTTAAAGCTATTATGTTATTGCTATCGGCTAATTAAGGAGTTGGAAACTCGTAAGTTAGTTTAATTTGTTCTAATGTTTAGGACATTAGACTCTGAAAAATAATTCAATAAGTAATTATGAAATTATTTATTTATTTAAATATGAGAGTTATAAATTGAAACTTACTAGACAAAAGTCAATGTTTAAAAAAAAAATTATAAACACAAACGCCAGTATTTTAAATAACTTTGACTTTCACATATTTTTATCATACATTGCTAAGAATTAAAAGATACAATTTAAAGTAAATCTTAATTTTTTTATTCAAAAATTGATTTTATAATGCTGAACTCTGATTGGACGTTCACTTTAACCAATCAAAATTAGATATTTCTGTGACTGCAAGGTCAATTTTTTTAATAAATAATCTGGAAAAACGTTTTACCGTTGTATTTATTTATTTATTAAGTCTAACATAAAATTTAAATGTAAGTAATTGTGGTTTGAAACTTCTAAAAAAAGACACCAATCGACTTCTATATGTCATGAAGCAAGCATTAAAATTAGTAAATGTCGCAGGACTGGATCCTCTAAGAAATGATAATTACGCAAAATTTAAAATAATGTTTTATGGTACTTGCATTGTATTAATAATTATTTCAGCTTCTTTTAAGTTCTTTTCGAATTTTAAAACTATTGAAACGTACGAAAGTGCACTCGAGTCTACGATTCCTCAAATCCAGACAATGTTTAAAATGTGTTCGTTAATACTGTCAAAAAGAGAAATAGCCGAGTTGATTGAAATGACTAAAAAATTTTGAAAATTTTACCAATGTGATGACGAAGACAAAAAAAATTCACTAAATTGTACAAAAATGTTGATATATTTTTTTATGCTTACACGAGTATGGTCTCAGGAGCTTGCATATTGTTTGTGATATTAACATTGATTTTTAAATCTGAAAAACCAATATTTTTGTGTTATGGTAGACTACATGGTCTCGAATCACCATTATTTCAAATATACCTTTTTCTAGACCTCATGAGAATTGTTGCTATTTCAGTGGTTGTGCCAGCGTATGATAGGATATTTTTTTACTTCGCTTTGAATATTTATACAGAATTTAAACTGGTCAAAAACGCTTTTAAAAAAAAGAGCAATGGACAGTTTATCGAGGCTGTGAAACATCACATTTTCTTGTTAAACTATGTCAAAAAAATCAACACAGTTTATTCGCCAGTATTTCTGTATCAGTTCTTTTCAAATCTTCTTGCTATTTGTTTCCTTTTATTCATGCTTTCAAGGAGTGGGTTTGTATTTAATCATTTTGCAACAAATGCAATAAAATGTTTTGTAGAATGCCGCCAGAGGTGGTCACTTTCACGAAATATTTCTTCTGCCTTGTAGCTTTTGCAGTTCAAACCTACACGTTTTGTTTAATTGGAAATTTAATTTCTAAATTGGTAACATTCTTGCTTAACAGTATTTACTAAATTCTTTTTTTTTTCAGTCAGTAGATATCTCAAATGAGATTTTTTATACCGATTGGCTTGACGATAAAGTTTACAAAAATAAGACTGCAAGACTTATAGTTATGTGTCGAGCACAAAATCCGGTTAAATTAACTATTGGCAAGTTTGCAGATATGGATTTACTCACTTTTATAATGGTATATTTCAGAAATTAATTATAAAAAAATTACAATTTATTTTTTGATTGTAAGAAACGCTTTCTCATTTTGTGCATTTGTTAACAAAACTTTGAATTAAATTAATCAAAAGTAACTTAGACATTTTTGATTAAAATTGTTTCACAATTCCGTGGCTTTGAAAATAAAGATCTTTTTCAAGCCCAGGTCAACTAGCTCGCAAGATTAAAATTTAATTTTGTAATTGTAATTTTTATTTAAATAATAAATACAGTTTTAAAACTGTCTGTTTTTTTTCAATGCCAGGAAAACCAATAGAAATTTAGTCAAAGTTACAATGAATTTTCCACAAGCTTTACAAATAATAGATGTAGTAGAACTTAATACTCTAAAAATTGAGAACTTAACAAATTAAAAAAAAATGTTCATTTATTTGTATAATATAGGTCATATTTTTAGAAATTTTAGAATTTATTTCAAATTTTACTCTCGTGGAGACATACGAAAGTGCACCACAATCATTAATTCCTACAATTTAAGATGTTATCACTGCTGCTGTCAAAAAACGACTTGACCGAAAAAACCAAGTGTCTTTGGAAATTTGATGATTTTTACAAACAGAAATTTCAAAAAATCTACAAAAATAACTTTTTACTGGTATGAACTTAAAGTAAGAAAACTGAGGCATTAAACTATTTTTTATAATTTCAGATTGTAAGAATTTGTTTCTTGCTTTTATTAACAATGCATTAGATTAAACTCTTATTATCTTCTAACACCACACAATTTTTCATTAAATAAATGAGTTATTTAAAAATAATTGTAAGTTATTAATTATTTTAATATCCTTGACCACAGCTGTTATCAAAAAATGACAAACCGATTTGATAGAAAAAACCAAGTGCTTTTGAAAACTAAATCAATTGCGTAATTTTCACATACCGAAACTAAGAATACTCTACGAAAATGTTGGTCTTTTTACATTTACACATTTATGATGACTGGAGCTTGCATTCTTCAAAAAATGTTACATGAACTGAAATCGCCCCAGTTTGAAATATATTTTGTTGTGGAATTGTAGATGCTATGATGATGTATTTTATTTACGCGGAATTTAAACTGGTCAAGATTGCTTTTAAAAGAAAATCTACGGTTTCCTCTTATAAAAATCAATTTGATATCGAAGCAGTGAAACACCACGATTTCTTGTTAAAATACGTCAAGAAACTCAACAAAATATTTTCACCAATATTTCTATTTCAGTTTTTTACAAACTTCCTTGGTAGGTATATGTTTTTGTCTATTTGTAGTTACAAGGAGCGAGATTCCACCAGAACCTGTAAAATTTACAAAATATTTCATCTGTCGAATTGTATTTACAGTTCAGTCATTTTTTGTCTAATTGAAAACTTAAATAAATAAGTTATTTAAAAAAATTGTAAGTTATTAATTATCTATCCTTGACCACATCACTTTAAAACAGATATTAATAAATTAATAATCAATATTTTACCAAACTGTCCTTCAAATAATCGGAAAATTAAATTATTGAATTATTTCTAAGTCTACCAACTATTTCTTGAAACATTAAAACATAATTGTATCATTTTTCAAGAAATCGAGCTACGATTAAACATGTAGTTATAGAACTTTCTTTTGTTTGAAAAGCAAAGAAAACCATTGAAAATTTAGTTGCAATCAAAATGGAGAATGCTTTGAAACTATTAGACACCGTTGGATTGAATCCATTAAAAAACGATAAAACATCAAAATTCAAATATTTTATTTGTTTCAGTTGCATTATCTGGATTATTATTTCGGCCGTATTAGAGATTGTTTCAAATATCGGTGTTTTTGAGATTCTTTTGAGAGATAAAAATGCATCACAAGCAATCATTCCTCCACTTCAGACGTTGCTTAAAATGTCTTCTTTCTTATTCCTCAAAAAAGAAATAGTTGACTTGCTTGAAAAAACCAAGTGTTTTTGGAAACTGGATCAATGTGACGATGAAACAACTAAGCAAAAGTTAACTCAAATCCACAAATATGTCACAATATTTTTCTACGTTTACACCGTTTTGATGACTGTAGTTTGTCTACAATTGGGAAGTTTAACACTCATAGTCAAACCAGGGAAACCAATATTTTTGTGTTATGGTGGATCAGATGGACTCGAATCGCCTCAGTATGAAATATATGCTATTGTGGACATTTTTGGAACTTTGCTCATTGGAATAATTGTATCGGCTTATGATGGCATGTGTTTTTACTTTACTTTGTATATTTACACAGAATTTAAATTACTCAAAATTGCTTTTAAAAGAAAAAACGGCCAAACGGTTTTTTCATACGATCAACAGTTTATTCAAGCTGCGAAACATCACGATTTTCTCTTAAACTTTATCAATCAACTCAATGACGTTATTTCACCGATATGCCTGTATCAATTTTTTTCAAGTCTTCTAGGAATTTGTCTTTGCTTATTTTTACTTACAGCAGAAGGGTCAGTATTGTCTATTTTGACTACAAAATAATAAGAAAATTTTAGAATGCCACCGAAACCTGATACGTTTTTAACATATTTCATCGGACTTATGGGATTTGTCGCTCAGACATATGCTTTTTGTCATATTGGAAATTTGATTTCTGAATTGGTAAAATGTGAAATTTTTAAATTTGGGGTAAATATTTTTTTCAGTCAATGGATATTTCAAATGACATTTTTTACGTCGATTGGCTTGACGATGAAGTTTATAGAAATAAAACCGCAAGACTTATTATTATGAATCGGGCACAAAAACCGGCGAAATTGACCATTGGAAAGTTTGCTGACATGAATCTAAGAACTTTTATTCTGGTAAGTGACAAAATTGACAAAATAAAAAATAAAGCAGCAAAATTTACAGATTTTAAGAAATGCTTATTCATTTCTTGCATTCATGAACAACATGTTAGATTAAGCATTATGATTAATTAATTGTAAGATTAAAATACAACAAATAAAATGTTACTTTACAAAAACAAAAATTCATGAAAAACTCACAATCCACGGCCTGAAACGCACTCCTAAACTTCCGAAAAATACTTTCAGACACTTCTCTTTCTAAACAACTACCACGGCTTATGACCGGATCCGGAGAACTTAATCACAAACAGTCCTCGTGAGCAAACAAACTTTTATATTTTTCTTAAACATTCGCAATTCTACAATTGCCCTAGGGTTAGGAGAGGTTTAATGTATTGCGCAAATATATCCAAGTTTGTTAAATAATTAAAAGCCAGGAAAATGTCTTTACCCCTCAAAACTTCTTCAAAATTTCTGAAATTGTTAAACTATTTTTTATTGTTCATTATTTTGAATAATTTTTTATTTTTTTATCAGTAATCAACTAATATCTTTGATCACAGAATTGAAGTGTAAGAATAAGAAAATAAGGATTGGTCTAGAATTAATTATTAGCTAATTATTTTACTAAAACTCTTAACTCTTAAAAAATCTTCTAATAATCAGATAAATTACAAATCGATTTGATCCAAAATAGCAAGTGCTTTTTACGATTTCTTGTTAAAAGACGTCAAGAAACTCAACGAAATATTTTCACTAATATTTCTGTTTCAATTTTTCACAAACTTCCTTGGTATATGTTTTTGTCTATTTGTGGTACAAGGAGTGAGATTTCACCAGAACCTAAAAATTTACAAAATATTTCATTTGTCGTATTGTATTTACAGTTTGTCTGATTGAAAACTTAAATAAATAATTTATTTAAAAAAAATTGTAAGTTATTAATTATCTAATATCCTTGACCACAGTATTTTAAAACGGATATTAATAAGTTATTAGCCAATTTTTTACCAAACATTAAAATCCTTCAAATAATCGGACAAATTAAATTACTGAATTATTTCTAAGTCTACCAACTATTTCTTGGAATTTTAAAACATAATTGTATAATTTTTCAAGAAATCGAGCTACGATTAAACACGTAGTTATAGAACTTTAAAAAAAAGTCCTTCATATAATCGGATAAATTAAAGTATTAAATTATTTCTAAGTCTAGTAAATCTCCCAACTATTTCTTGGAATTTTAAAACATAATTGTGTCATTTTTGAAGAAATCGTCCTACGATTAAACACGTAGTTATAGAACTTTCTTAACCTCCATCAGAATGGAGAATGCATTAAAAATAATAGACACCGTTGGGTTTAATCCATTAAAAAACGATAAAACATCGAAGTTCAAGAATATTATTTGTCTCAGTTGCATTATCGGGATTATTATTTCAGCCGTTTTAGAGACTATTTCAAATATTGGTGCTTGTGAGACTTATCAAAATGCATCACAAGCAATCATTCCTCCACTTCAAACGTTGCTTAGAATGTTTTCGTTGTTATTTCTCAAAAAAGAGATAGTTATTTTGTTTGAAAAAACTAAGTATTTTTGGAAATTGGATCAATGTGACGATGAAACAACTAAGCAAAAATTAACTCAAATCCGCAAATATGTCACAATATTTTTCTACGTTTACACCATTTTGATAACTGGAATTTTACTACAATTTGCAATTTTAACAATAATTTTCAAACCCGGGAAACCAATACTTTTGTGCTATGGTGGATTATATGGACTCGAATCACCTCAGTACGAAATAAGTGTCATTGTGGACGTTTTAGGAGTTTTGATCGTTTCCATAGTCATTACGGCTTATGATGGCATATTCTTTTACTTCGCTCTGTATATTTATACAGAATTTAAAATACTCAAAATTGCTTTTACAAGAAAAAAAGGCCAAATGGCCTCCTCATACGATAAACAGTTTATTCGAGCTACGAAACATCACGATTTCCTCCTAAATTATATCAATCAACTCAATGAAGTTTTTTCACCGATGTGCCTGTTTCAATTTTTTTCAAGTCTTCTAGGAATTTGTTTTTGCTTATTTTTACTTACAGTAGAAGGGTTAGTATTACCTTTTTTGTCTACAAAATGACAAAAAAATTTCAGATTTCCACCGAAACCTGATACGTTTTCGATATATTCCATCGGAGTTATGGGATTTACCACTCAAACATATGCTTTTTGTCATATTGGACATTTAATCTCTGAATTGGTAAAATAGTAAAATTTTAGATTTTCCATAAATTAATTGTTTTTTCCAGTCGATGGATATTTCAAATGACATTTTTTACGTCGATTGGCTTGACGATGAAGTTTACAGAAATAAAACTGCAAGGCTTATTATTATGAATCGGGCACAAAAACCGGCGACATTGACCATTGGAAAGTTTGCTGATATGAACTTAAGAACTTTTATTCTGGTAAGGGACAAAAATTGGGAAAATAAAAAATAAAGCATCAGTATAATTTGCAGATTTTAAGAAATGCTTATTCATTTCTTGCGTTCATCAACAATATAATAGAATAAGCACAACTATTTAAATTTTTTATTATAACAATTAACAAATACAAAACTCACAATCCACAGCCTGAAACGCACTTCTAAGCTTCTAAAAAACACTTTCAGTACAACTCACATTATCGTTAATGCAAACTGGATTATGACTGAAACGGAAGAACTTCAAATCAGAAACAGTTCTTGTGAACAAAGCTCTAGTTTACTGTATTGCGCAAATACGTCCAAATTTGTTAAATAATTAAATGCTAGAAAAAGACTTTGTTAAAGGTCTTCACTCCTGAAAACTTTCGGAACTGTTGTACAGTATTGTTCCCACTCAAATCTATATTTTAATTTTGTTAAATTATGAAACTGAAAAAGATTAGTTAACAAATAAAAAAACATTGGTCGTTTATTTGTATAATATTTATTACATTTTCAGCAATTTTAGTATTTATTTCTAATTTTATTCTCCTGGACATACGAACGTGCACCTGAATCTTTAGTTTCTTCATCTCAAACACTGTTTAAGATGTTATTACAAAACGACAAAACGATTTGATCCAAAATAACAAGTGCTTTTTACGATTTCTTGTTAAAATACGTCAAGAAACTCAACGAAATATTTTCACTAATATTTCTGTTTCATTTTTTTACAAACTTCCTTGGTTTATGTTTATTTGTCTATTTGTGGTTACAAGGAGTGAGATTCCACCAGAACCAGTGAAATTTACAAAATATTTCATCTGTCGTATTGTATTTACAGTTTAGTTGTACATCTTTTGTCTGATTGAAAACTTAAATAAATAAGTTATTTAAAAAAAAAAAAATAAGTTATTAATTATCTAATATCCTTGACCACAGCATTTTAAAACGGATATTAATAAGTTATTAGCCAATTTTTTACCAAACATTTAAAAAGTCCTTCAAACAATCGGACAAATTAAATTACTGAATTATTTCTAAGTCTACCAACTATTTCTTGGAATTTTAAAACATAGCATTATTTTTCAAGAAATCGAGCTACGATTAAATACGTGGTTATAGAACTTTCTCTTGTTTTAAAAGCAAAGAAAACTATTGAAAATTTAGTTGCAATTAAAATGGAGAATGCTTTAAAACTAATAGACACCGTTGGATTGAATCCATTAAAAAACGATAAAACATCAAAGCTCAAAAATATTATTTGTTTCAGTTGCATTATCTGGATTATAATTTCAGCCGTATTAGAGGCTATTTCAAATATCAGTGTTTTTGAGACTTATCAAAATGTATCCCAAGCGATCGTTCCTCCACTTCAGACGTTGATTAAAATGTCTTTGTTGTTATTACTCAAAAAAGAAATAGTTGATTTGCTTGAAAAAACTAAGTTTTTTTGGAAATTGGATCAATGTGACGATGAAACAACTAATCAAAAATTAACTCAAATCCGCAAATATGTCACAATATTTTTCTACGTTTACACCGTTTTGATAACTGGTGTTTTACTACAATTTGCAATTTTAACACTAATTTTCAAGCCCGGGAAACCAATACTTTTGTGCTATGGTGGATTATATGGACAGTATGAAATATGTGCCATCGTGGACGTTTTAGGAGTTTTGATCGTTTCAATAGTTGTATCGGCTTATAATGGCATGTTTTTTTATTTTACTCTGCATATTTATACAGAATTTAAAATACTCAAAATTGCTTTTAAACGAAAAAACGGCCAAGCGGCCTTTTCGTACGATCAACAGTTTATTCAAGCTACAAAACATCACGATTTTCTCTTAAATTTTATCGATCAATTCAATGTAGTTCTTTCACCGATATGCTTGTATCAATTCTTTTCAAGTCTTTTAGGAATTTGTTTTGCTTATTTTTACTTACAGTAGAGGGGTTAGTATTGCTTATTTTGACTACAAAAAATTTCAGAATGCCACCGAAACCATATACGTTTTCGACATATTTCATCGGACTTATTGGATTTACCACTCAAACATATGCTTTTTGTCATATTGGAAATTTGATATCTGAATTAGTAAAATAGTGAAATTTTAGATTTGCCATAAATATTTTTTTCAGTCAATGGATATTTCAAATCAGATTTTTTACGTCGATTGGCTTGACGATGAAGTTTACAGAAATAAAACTGCAAGACTTATTATTATGAATCGGGCACAAAAACCGGCGAAATTGACGATTGGAAAGTTTGCTGATATGAATCTAAGAACTTTTATTCTGGTAAGCAACAAAATTGACAAAATAAAAAATAAAGCAGCAAAATTTACAGATTTTAAGAAATGCTTATTCATTTCCTTGCCTTCATCAACAACATGTTAGATTAAGCACTATGATTAATTAATTGTAATATTAAAATACAACAAATAAAAATTTAGTTTATGAAAACATTGAAAACCGCGAAAAGCTCATAATCCACAGCCTGAACCGCACTCCAGAAAAACGCTTTCAAGCACTTCACTTTCAGAACAATTGTCACTATCAGTAATGCAAACCGTATTTTGACCGGAACCAGAGAATTTCACAAACAGTCCTCGCGAGTCCAGATTCGAGCATACCTAAACTTTTCAATTCCTTCTAAACACTTGCAATTCCACGGATTGCCAGAGAGTGTTGTTAGGACAAGTTTACCATTTATCGCAACTAAACGCAAATATCTTGAACAATTAAATGCCATAAAAGGCCTTGAAGGCCTTCAGTCTTGAAAATTTTCTGAACTGTAAAATGTTTTACATTGTTTCTACTCAGATCTACATATTTTAGTTTTGTTAAATTATCAATGTGGATTTTTATTTCTAAAAGTTATATAGGTAATATTGGTAATTATATATAGGTTATATAGGTATATAGGTAATTATATATATATATATATATATAGGTAATTATATAGGTATAGATAATTATATAGGTACTTTATATAGGTAATTGTGAGTTCTTGCAAAAGTAAAGTAAAGTTGTTTGGGATTTTTTGGAAGGTAGCCATTGGATATTATATTAATTAATGCTAGTTGATCATGAGCAACACTTAGCTTTGCCAGTCGACAATTTTTCACAAAAATATTAATATACATATTTATAAAACAAATCAAGGAACTGTGTGTTACTTGCGATAAAAGCCCTTTATTCTATTTTTTCAATCCAATTTTTCTACAAACTCGGTTTTTCTAATTTACAAAAACCGATAAATGTCGATTTTTTAATCATTGGAATTTGATTGTTGTAAAAAATTACATTTTGGGGACTTTTGCAATGGGTAAATGTCTTTGGTTCTATTTCTGTTAATTTTTTACTGAAATGAAAGTTTAATTTGTCAAGATCAACAAGTAGTTTTTTTAGAATACGTTATGTTAGGATGTTGGTGTAGGTAATATTTGTTTAATTGCACTATTAATAACTCAGACCAGATTTTTTAGAATTGTTAAAAAAGAGTTTTGCACGACACTATGAACGATTTTTCACACAAACCGGTCACTTTTGTAAAATAGGCACATTCAACAAAATAATCAATGTTAGAAAAAGCATTTTAGCGAGTTTGTTGATTGTAAGTAATTGATATGGAAAACTCAACGCTTGTTATCAATAATTGACCTTAAATTGCGTCAAAGAAATTTCTGTTTTTAAAAATGTTTATACGAAACAATTAAAATCAAGAAATATATTTAATTAAAATAAGCAAAATGAATATATTGTATGATTATTATTATTATATTTCAAACAAGAACAACGAGGCTTATTGTGTGTTTTTATTAAAATTCATTTTTGTATTTTTGTTTTTTATATGCTTTTTATGAACAAAATGAACCTTGCCATTTACATTAAATAAAATCTTTTATTTATAAAATTTATTCTTCGACACTGTCAAAATTTACGGTTTTTCTCCTGTGTAAGGAAGTTTTGACACCTACCTGTTTGGTATTTCTCAATACGAAACGTCAGATTATTTTTAACAGATTTAAAGCAATTGTAGGCTTTGTTGACTCTAATTCGAAGAATAAGATGTTGTATTCAACTCGTCTTTGTGTAAATCGGTTCATTTATTCCACTTCGTGGATGATAAACCACGTTTAAAAATCCACTCGTGAAATAAAGCGTCCGATTTACACTTAAACTCGTCGAATAAATAACTACTATTAATCCTAGATTTTTTTATTTCAGAATAACATAAATTTAACAAAACATAAGAATAACAAATTTCTAAATTTATAACAGTTTGTATCCAAATAATAATACTTTGTTTCCAAAATAGTAGTCATCAATTATAATGTATCAAAACCTTATTGAACTATGTAATTTCCGTTTCTATTTGTAATTTGTATTTCTTGGCATTTTCGGCCTTGATAAAGACTGAAAAACTCTTTTTTTACTTTCAATTTTTCTCAAATTTATGTGTTTCAATTAAATCAGAAACACAAGTTTTTTTAATAAAAAAATACAAATGACAAATGTTTAAAACAATACAACACTGACTAATTGCTACAAAAATAATTAAATACATAAAAAACACACAGCTTTTCGCTTTCATTATTTTCAAGCAACAGGTTGGATTTTGTATATTGTTGGTTGCCTATATAAACTGACAATTATACAAATTACTAATATTTTAAATTTTGATTTAGCAATTTTAACAAACGAACTAATCTCGCATAATCGTTGTGATTTTAAAAAATGCGTAATTCGGCTTTTACTTTTATTAATAAAATGGTATTCTGTTAATATAATTACTACTGTAATATTTATAATAGAATTATTACCTATAAGTATTTGATAACAAGTAATAAATAATTGTGTTAGTAATAAAATTTTATTAATTTAAAAAAAAATTTTTAATGTAATCTTTTTTCATTTAAAAGCTGACTGCAACATGGCCAAAAAATGTGAGCTTATTGAAGAAAAAAGTGCTTTCTTCTTCCAAATCGCTGAAAAATTGTCTCTTTGCATGCCATCACATTCCTTGTGATTCGCATTTGTGGGTGTTTGGAACAGGATTCTCCCCGCTCCAGCATGCATTTGAATGCGACTCGAATCCCAACACCAGCAGATCCAAAGCTCTCGATATTTCTTGTTTACTTTTAGAACTTTAGTCGCTCAACAGTCGTCGATATGAGTGTGTGATCGTTTCTTCAGCAAGCGCGCGTTCACGTGCAACACCATGTCATTTCAGACTCGTAAAAGTGCCATTTTTTGCTTAATTGTGTATTTTTTCACATGGATATCGGCGCAAGGTGAGCTTTTGCGCAGAATTAAAACTGCCGCCGGTGTTATTATTATCGAGGACGTTAAATGAGAAGTCTCTTATTTAATTAACAATGTCATAAATAAGTGGTAATTAACGTTGCTCGCCAGCTGCTTCGAAATTATTTAATTTATTTTAAATGACGAGAATGGCTCGGCTTGTTAGGCGACACATTAACGTTAATATTTCAAGAGGTGATCGGTTGCCACATCGATTTTATCATTTTTCATGGAACGCTCCAAGCGAGGATTTTTCAGGAAAATTTTCACTTCGTTCATTTTTATGAAGGATCCAAATTTTATGTTTATGGCTTGTTTGATGATTTATGAGCGACTTTTACTCCTTTATACAATGAGTCATTCTGTTTTTGTCCAAGTGGAACATTTAAACTAATTTAAAGGGATCGTAAAGAGTCAAGAAACTCACTTAATTAAAGCGGCGTGAAAAATTGGGGATTTTTTGTCAAAAAGGGGAGCTCACAACCTGTTGATTTACTTATTTTTTTTGCTTTTTTGTTTGTCAAATTAATTGCTTTAATTTCGCGCTTGAGAACGCGTCAATAAATTAGACAATAATCCGTTTGAAGTTCCGAATTGTTCAAAGTGTCTAATTTTAGTGCAAGCCCCGCCATGGTCCATATATTAAATTAAACGTGTCACTTTGAAACCGCCGTAAATAACTCTGTAATAGCTACTGTCGTCGCAACGTAGCTAATAAATAATGTTAATCAATCAAACAACTGTGAAAAATTTGCGGAATGTTGCAAACACCTGAGTAAAGCAGAGTCTCCTGCGGGAATGTCACTCTTTCAAACTCTCACTTTCGTCGACAGAAGGCCATCATTCATCCATCCGATCACGTTTTTCCACTTGTGATAACTCACTCACTCCGCGTGGTCACTGGAAAACAAGAAGATTGTGATTGACAGGCCATTATGGGCATAAATAAGCCGCAGGCTGGGCAAACAACTCGTTAGTTAACCTTTCCGATCAGCAAAATATGCAAATTATTAATATGCGCATTCACAATTCGATGAAATTTATTGAGGCAATTAAATTTTGGTCGTTTTTTGGAAATTTTGCAATTTGTTTTCGACGGGTGATTTATTTGTATAAAAAGCAGCTCAATTTAATTCATGATTGATGTGACATTTTTTTCTGTTGTAGATTTAATGTGCTGTTCGCATACCACCGGCTCCTGCAGAAGTGTGTGCGAGAAGGTGAGTCAAATTTTCATTTAGAAGTCTATGCAAATCACATGGGACGGGTTTTACCACTTATCGGATTGCAACTCGCACCTCCAATGGGTTGTGGGATGGGACACGACGAGAATTGACACATAAAAAACTCATTTCAAGAGATTTTGCCTTTAAATATCGAAATTTTTGAGAAACTGTCAGAATTGTTCATAAAGAACAAAAATTTTCAATTTTTATTTTACCTGTTATACAGTTACAAGTTTTTTTGTTTTAAACTGTTTTGAAACATAATTTCCTTTGGCATCCTGTATGTGTTATCAAAGGTCAACCACACAAGATAAAAACAAAGTGATAATTGTCCTAATCAAAGCCTTCAAGCTTGAAAACTTGCCTCAACGTCTCCATAAATAACACACATTAACCAAAATCAATATTTGAACATTAATTAGATTCAGTTTGTGACTACTTTTAACTTTTCTTTGACAGGTTTATCAATTTTATCGTCCAGGGCTTTCTCAAAGGAAATAAAAACTTGAATCATAAAAGAAAAATAAACTCATTTTTTCAAATAAGTCATTAAATTGTAAAATTGTTAAAATTTTTAATTGTGAGATTTAGTTTTAAATTAGGAATTCAGAATTTCCGGTTTCCAAATTTCAAATTTTGACTGATCTTCGATTTTTGACTCTAAATATTATAAAATTTGGCTTATGTAGCAATTAAACACGAAATTTTCTCAATATTTTTTTTTAATAATAATAATAAAATAATAATAATATCAAAATAATACAGTGATTTTTTTGTTAGGTAAATTGTACTACTAACGAAAAATAAGAAAAACTATTTTTTTAAATAAATGTCGGTATCAATTAACGAAATAGTTAATATTTCTAATTGTGAGATTTAGTTTTAAAGTAAGAATTTAGAATTTCAGACTTACAAATTCCTACTTCTTTTGACTGTTAAATTAAAATTTCTATGAGAGTCATGAGTCAAGATTTTTTTGTACGATTTAGAAATTTAGACACGTATTATTCTTCTAAAGTCTAATTTTGATTACTATAACGATTTTAAACAGGGAAAGGGAAATTTCAGGTTTTCTAACTTCGGATTTTAACTTTCAAATGTGGATTTTTGAGTCTCATTTATAAAATTGTGATTAAAAAGTGTTCAATTTTGACTTTTGACTCAGGAATTGCAACTTGTGTACTCGTAAAACTTCAGTACTTCGTATTTTGGAACTTTATAACATTTTAGCAATTTAGCTTTCAGTGCTCTAGTTCGGGTTCTTCTTAACTTTATTCTGGAATAGAGTTAGAAGTGTAAAGTAATACCTAACCAGGTGTATTCAGCTCCGGTAGCACTTCTTCAAGTTACACTCGTCGCGGAATGAAAAAGGAATAATAAAAGTGATGATTTAGATTTGGCGACCGGTCGCTTGCTTCTTGGCAAAATTCCAAATGTATTTCTAGATATAAAGTCTTTGGCCTGCAGTGTGCATGTCTCTTACCCGCGTGCATTTTTTTAATAAATAACAGAGATATACGATGAGGCGTGTTCATAGAAAAAGACGAGATGGGGGGATATTTATCACACCTAAAACAACAAAGCTGCCAAAACGAACACCCTTTGATATACCGTTTCGATATTTTCGGTTGTCTTTGATCTCGTTATTTGAGGACTTGTCCACTTGATGGGTCTTTGACCCTAATAAACAATAAGACGCGACATGGCATTATCCCTCTCGAAAATCGTAGAATTCAAATTAGGCATTGTCGAGTTTCGATCGAAAGCGATGCATAATTAAATATTAAAATTGCAAATGGTCTACCAGATCGTTATGACGAGTTATTACGACGATAAATTATTTAACAATTACCACCCACAACGTAGTTGTAATTGCGAGGTTTGCTAAACGTTGGAGAACGTGACCGGATGTGTGGCGCTGACTTTTCTGGAAGGGTTCCGGTGGTGGATGCTCACGGAATAAAATATTGGCATTTGGATAAGAAAAATAGGGACCACAACGATTGACTAAAAATCGAGAAATTTATACCTACCAAAAAGTTTCTCATTTGTTGTAACTTTTTGGATTTAAAAAATTTTTGTACAATAAGACAAAAGGCCTTTTGAATTATCAAATGAAGTTTCAGACACAAAATTTTTTAAATTTAACTTCTGAGAAATACATCAAATACACTTACTTCAATTACTTATTTTTTTGATTAACTCAAATGCGATTGTATGTACCTATTAACAAGTGAAATTTAGTATAGAAAACAATAATGTTAAATATTTCTCGATTTTTGCAAAAACCAATGATTGTACAAGAAAAAGAAAAACACTCCATAGGGATATATTCAAAATATCTAAAAAACTTAGTATTTCGTATTGGTTTAATATTAAATTTAGACTAATTAAAAAGTTCAATTTTCCGACTAGCAGATTTTTTGGAATAAAATGTTTTTAAAAATGTTGAAGTTTGGAACCAATAAGCATTTTTTGGGTGAAATATTTGCTTGAATAAAAAGTTCTTTGAGAAAATGAAGCGATTTGAGTAATTTATAATCTATTTGTGGTCGATTTTAAGTTAGAAATAGATGTAAATCAATGTTGAGGACGCAATTTTTTGCCACAATAAAGCGATTTGAGCTATTTTCAATCAATTTTGCTTGATTTTACTTGGGAAATCAACGTTTTTCAACAAAATAAATGCTTGAATCCTAATTTTTTGTCAAAATAAAGCAGTTTGTGTTATTTTCATTCGATTTGGCTCAATATTAAGCCTGAAATCAAAGTATTTTAACGAAATAATTGCTTAACTAACAGTTTTCTGCCAAAATAAAGAGATTTGAGATATTTCTAATAGATTACTGCTTGATTTTTAAATCAGAAATCGAACAAATAACGTGGTATAAGTCTGTATAAAAAAATGTGATGTTTTTTAATTATTATTTAATTAATAAAAATACAAACTATTTAAGCACGCTTGGTCTCATACCTTTTTTATTTGTATGTATCTTGTTTATTCTATAAAAATCTTTTAAACTTTTAACAACAAATTTAAATATTTAAATTTGAATTTTTCATTTTTAAACTCGATGCTCAAATTGTAAAATTGGGGTTTGAATGACGACTTTCAAACTCGTAATCTTTAGAATTTGAAACACAGATTTTTTGATTATTAAATTCGATATTCAGTTTTAAACTCAGAATTTCAAGTTTTCTAACTTTGAATTTTATCTTCTACGCTTTGATTTTTGAGTTTCAGTTCAAAATTTCCGTAAAAAAATTACTTTTTTGCTTTTGAATTTTGAATTCCAAAAATACCATATTTTCAACATGGAAACTCAAACTTTTATAAAAATTCAAAAATTTTTGACTTATTCTCATATTTTCAGCCTCAATCATAAAATCTCATTTACATTTTGGCTTTTAAAATATCATGAAACTGAAATATTGTCACAATTGTTGAAAATTTCGCTCTGTGCACTGTTGCAAGTGCCTCCTTTCCATCCAACTTTCTTTATCTGGCTATAAAATTCCGCAAAAGTGTTTCTCAGTGCAGCAGTGCAAAGCATCCGCCTCCTCTTCGTTCGGCTCCTTTGATCTTCAAAGCGTCGATGCGTCGGAACAGAAGCTTTATCGGATGTTTCCACAGAAATGTGGAAAGTCATTTAAAATCCAAAGCTAATAAATCCACGTTAGGTTCATGTTTGTTTTAAGTAGATAATTTGTAGAGTCGGCGTTTATTTCGGGAGCTTTTTTATCATTCAATCTCATCTTACACCAATTACAAAACCACATTGTTTCAAGTGCCAAATCGTAAACTGTTATGTGGGATTCGCCTCAATAATTCTCCAATGACCCATTGGGCTTCCGATGGGCAGATGTAGGGCGAAACTTGAGACACAATGTGGTTGGCAAAGACACATTTGTATCAATTAATATATCATCAAGTGACAGGATGTGGAAACTTATTCAAATTATTTCAATTGCAACCAAGCTAAATTCAAGTTTCGCTATCGTAACTATCAGAAATTTACAACCTTTCTGGTTGCTGGAAAGCTTTCCTTATGCAAATCTGATAACTGTGCAAATAAATGTGAGAGGAAAGCGCCAAGAGGCGACAATCTCCTTAAATTTTTCTGGTCGAAGAGTAATAATTCCGGGAAAGTACCCACTCATGGTTTGTTTGTTATTCCAAGAATGTATTTATTCAAGAGGCGTTTAAGTTGGGCTATTCTCACACGCGACATGTACTTCATATTGATAGTCGCATAATGGCCGCATTTACCCATTAATATTAATGAGACCGAGCAAAACACTGTCCATAAAGCAGTTTTATTGGTTTAGAAGAGAACAATACAAATGAGAATTGGATTAAAGTCGTGTTAGACGTGAGGTTCATAGATCCACTTTCTGCAACAGCTGCAACGATGATGGAATTAAAGAGATTCGAGTAAATCGAGCCATTCAATGCCTTTCTTGCACGTTTCCGACGTGAGTGACAGATTTAACCGTGTCTAAAGACCCCATGCCGGTCTTATTTATGCTACCAGAAAGACCCAGTAATCCTAAACTAAACATTCGACAAAAGAACGATTGTGGAGCGTGAAATACGCCCATTGAGCTGGGCTCACAAGATGGGGGCGCTAATTGTTGGAGATTAGTATTCGAAAGAGACATGATTCTGAGAAATTATTTCCTCGAGAACCATTTCCTGTATTTTTCGTTACTTGAATCTTGAGATTTTATTCCGAGACGGGCTGGAGATGGGAATTATTCATCGGTTAAATTTAGTGCGCCGTGACATGAGCTTCCTACTCTTGTCACAATTGATGACTCTATAAAATGCATTCTGAATTGGAGATTTCAAGGTGTTTTGCCAGTTTTGACATACATACTTACACACTTTTTCAGGAAAAATAACAAAACTTTTACTCAAGTGTGCTGCAAAATCGACTTTTGATTTGCTATAAGTAAAATAATATTTTCGAGTTAGTTATAATAACTTATTT